TTTTTATTTGAGAAATCATATACGGAATATATTTTATTTTTAATTAAAAATAAATATAATCAGTAATCCTTTTTAAATCCTTTTCTAATTTGGAAAATCACTGACAAAATATTTTTTTACTTTTAATTAAAATAAATTTCATCAATAATCTTTTTTAAATGTAAATACTTTTTTGATATATATATTTCATTTTATATATATAAATACTTTTTTGGTTCAAAAAATATTTAGCGACTTAATCGCTTAAAATATGAAAGTCCATTGCTTTTTTATCAGGTCTTTTCCATTATTTTACCACATTAATCAGTTTTATAGGTTATAAGGATGTATCTAACATGTTTTAAAAGTCTAATGAGTTATTTAATAGGTTTTGGAATGTCCAAGAACTTATTTGTTTCAAAAAATTATCCAAGTACTTAATCATTCCAAACGCTAAAGTCCATTGGGTTTTTGTTTTTAGACTTTTTTCTTTTCTATATTCAAGAATAATAAAAAAGAATATTTTAGATATAATAAATTTTAAATATGTACATATAAAATATTTGAGATTGAGTTGGATCACTAATAAACCATAAAAAAAAATGTAAGATTGGATTGACATTGTAAATTAGGTAGGTGGAAGAGAGAGAAATTAATTTTTTAATAGAGATTGCGTTAGATTGGATTGTGGTTAAAGATAGTCTAAGGCAACCATCGACACCTTACTCAATACTCCTTAAAAACCCAACTCCAAATTCCAAGGATGAAATCCTTGTTCTAAACTAGAAATCTAGGACAAAATCATGAAATCCAAGGATGATTGTTGTCGATTATCCGACACCACCACGGTTGAACCTCCATCAGTGAACCCTCTCCCAGTGAGATTTTATAGGGGATGGCTCAGCGTTTCTTCCCTGTGTGTTCGTAAGGTGATCTCCCTATGATCTCCCCTATTCCCTTCGTTGAAGAAACATATTTATAGGGGATGATTTATCCTTATAGTTAGTTGTCCCTGTGGTTAGTTTTATCCCACTGATTTGTTTGAAAAATGAAAACCACAKACCAAAATGAAAAGCATGGTGTATGAGGGGTGCATGGTCCGTTGGAGAAGACATGGAGTRGGGACTGTTCACTTGAAGCTTCCTCAAACCTGTGGAGAAGAAGAAGCAAAAAAACTTAAAGAGAGATGGGGTGCTATAAAATATGGGTTTAGGTATGAAACCATTTTCGTCCTTCTCACAAATTCAATCTACAAACCAAATCCCACTCCCCCTCACACACGACCTGCAAATCACAATCACAAGGACAAATCGTCCCTATTGATGAACAAATCACAGGGATGAAACGAAACCAAACTCGATTTTTTCAGCAGAGGGAGTTAAGAGAAAGAAAAGAGAAGAGGAAGACAATGGTGATGGTTTGTTGATGTCGACGATGGAGTTGACGTCGGTGGTGGAACGACCGGGAAGGGGAGCGTCGATGCAGGGGGTTTCAAATTAGGATTTACTCGGATTTGTAGACGTGTATATACACACACACACACGTAGAATTAGTTAGTGATGGAAACCCAAATTTAAAGGGTAACAACAAGTCGCTTAACTGATAGAAGGTACTATCAAATGATAGATCCATGTAAGGTGAAAGATAGTACGATGTTGTTGAGAACAAAGATGAGTCAATCTCTTAACAAAGTTTAGAGGCATCTTAACAACGAAGATGTTATAGAACTTTGCCTATATGACTTAGAGGTAGTGCTGCCTCAAACTAAGAGTAGTGGTTCCTTTATAGTAAGTCATGAAATAGGGTTTAACGCATGGCCATATTCGTGCTCAGTGAGAGAGCAAGGTTGATAGATGATGTGTGTAAGTAAGCCGGAGTGGTCACAAGATTCAAGGTTTAAATCCTAAGGATACCATTGGATTGATCCCTTATTGCATACTTACATTAAACAGGGTTTAATCTTAGTGACACCACTGTAACATTATCTACTACGAATGTCAGAAAACTTTCCAACCTGGTGGGGGATTGTTGGATATATTAGTGGGTTGGAAGTTTGTTTTTCATCCCACATTGGTAGATAAAGGAAAATTAGAGAAGCTTATAAGGCTTCCACTACAATTGGGCTTTAAACAAATGGGTAGACTCATGGTGGGGGTCTTGAGTAGAAGGCCCAACGCAGACGCACGTACGTGGGCATGGGCGCGAGATTCGCTAAAATAGCGCGAGGAGGCACATTTTGCACTTTGCACGCCACATCGGAGCAAAAGGAGCCTCGCCCTGAGCTCCGAGTATCTTTTTGGTACAAACTCAAGAGATATGAAAAAAATTGAATTTAAAATCGGTTTTTAAACCTTTTTTAACCACGTTCTTTTTTAGAGATAAATATTGTTGGAGGATAATCCTCCAACTACCCCATGGTCATCTGAAAAAAATGAGAATGAGATCGTGGGTTTTTTTAGGGTTTCACCCAATATAAATACTGGGTTGAAGCCAACCCTAAAAGCCACCTGAAAAATATTGTTTGCTCCTTTCGGTTTCTTCTTCTATTCGTTCTTTCTCTTTACTGATTTCTGTATCCACCTTGCTTTAATTTTGTGTTCATCGTTGTTGATAAACAAAAACGTATATTGCATCAAATCCTGGAGCTTTGCGACTAGCAGACTCACAGCGTCAAAAGAGTAGTCGTATAAAACCTTTAAGGACAGGTTCTACCATGCAGATTACGATTCATCGACAGATTAATCAGGTTGGTTTTAAATTTCGTGCATTGTATTTAATTTTTGTTCACTAAGTGAACAACTCTGCTTCTACTCCTTTTTTTTCATTGAATCTATCACGGAGGATAGATTTAATATGTGTGAAATTGCACGTTTTGAGGTGTTGTGGATTCCGGACACAAAAATTACCATCTTTGTTCATAAAAATTTAAAATTTTGGATTAAATATTTAAACTTGTTTATAAAGGTTAAAACTTTGTCGGTTATTTAACTCTATTTAATTTTTTTCTACACCCCCATCAATGAACCCTCTCCCAGTGAGATTTTATCTTGTAGTTTTTGAATATATTCAACAGAAGCTATGATGGTTCAGCGTTTCTTCCCTGTGTGTTCGTAAGGTGATCTCCCTATGATCCCCCCCTATTCCCTTCGTTGAAGAAACAGATTCACAGGGGATGATTTATCCTTGTGGTTAGTTGTCCCTATGGTTAGTTTTATCCCTCTGATATGTT